CTTCTCTGGGCAACCTGTTCCAGTGCCTCATCACCCTCTGAGTGAAAAATTTCTTCCTTGTATCCAATCTAAATCTCCCCTCTTTTAGTTTAAATCCATTACCCCTTGTCCTGTCACTACACACCCTTGTAAAAAGTCCCTCTCCAGCTTTCCTGTAGGCCTCCTTTAGGTACTGGAAGGCTGCAATAAGATCACCCCGGAGCCTTCTCTTCTCCAGGCTGGCCAGCTCCAACTCTCTCAGCCTGTCTCCATAGCAGAGGTGCTCCAGCCCTTGGATCCTCTTTGTGGCCTCCTCTGGCCCCACTCCAGCAGCTCCATGTCCTCCTTGCATAGAAACGCATCTTGTCCGCTGCTTGGGCGACATCTGCGAGATGTTTCCACCAGAAATCTTACACGAGCAGCCAAGGCTGCTCCTGGGAACTTGCTTTTGCTAAAGGAAAGGCAAGTGAAAGTCTTCTCTTGGCTGTGTATTATGTCATTCCTAATTACATTTTTATCTTTGTAAATGGAATATTTGCAATATTTTTCTTGCAAACCTGGACAGCCGTGACGGAGCATGACTATGTCCACCAAAAGAGCAAGTCACCACGTGATTGTCCAGGTACTCTGGGCCATGAGATGCCTTTATGTCAAACCTGGTTCCACCCCCAACTCCTTTTTTTTAAAAAGGGGGTTTTGTTTATTTGAGGGTTTCTCTTTTTCTGTGTTTTGAGAGTATTTGATTGCAGGATAAATCTAGCTGAGTAAGAAGCAGCATTGAAAAATACTGGCTGCCTGACTTCTAATAATGGCTTGAAGCTTCCTTCAGTGGTTAAATCTGCAAAACCAGAAAGTGGAAGAAACTATGGGGTATATTAATAACATTTTTTAGGTTACTCTGCTTTCCCAGTACTTCTGTCTGAAATAACTTTTGGAGGATACGTTAAACTTCGGAATGCTTTAAGGACTGAATTTGTGACAAGTGTGTGGAAGGGGCCTTTTTGTCTGTGATTGCAAAGGCTTGGGCTTGTTAGCTGGGCTTTAAAGATAGACATTTATTACCTACCTTTTCTGCTCCACTGCAAGCTGATGAACACGTAAGTAGCGGAGAATGCATCTCTTCCACTTGCTTTTGTTCCTTCAAATTGTCTGGCAAAAGAAATTAGGAACAGAAAATAAGACCCACATGTGAAGATTATTTTATTATTTTCAACCAAAAGATTCAGAGGAAGCTCAGTACAGTCAAGGGCAGAGCCTGTAAGCTCCAGAGCCAGAGGAGTTATGGCCATGTGGTGAGGACAAGCTCTTTAGCCATGATGTGCCAAACACAGACTTATTTCCAGGTGCAGAGGAGCCACATCCCTGGTTGCTCAGGTTTTGTTCCTGTAACAAAGGCATTTTGTAACGAGCCTTAAGTATTTTTCTTTACAGGGAACAAAGTGCAGGTGGGGGAAAGGTGTGCCATTGTACACCACGTAGTAAAATACCTCCTCAAGCCCTGTCGATCATCAGAGCAATAATTTTCGAAGGTAATACCCACCTCTACAGCTGAGGGAGCTCTGTATTCCTGGTGATGTGGCTGGTACATTCCTGCTCTGATTAGCAAAACCAGGATTGTGTCATCTCTGGCCCTGGTTTGAAACCGTGCACCGGCAAACTGTGAACTGGAACAGCTTGTCACAACGTGGTTAATCGGCCTTGTAGGATTCTGCCTGCCCCAGCCTACATTGAAAAACAAAAAAAAACCCAATGTAGGGACCACATAACACATCCTGGCAGTTTTGAGTAGCTGATAGCATTACTGCTCTGCAGTCCTCATACTGTTTTGAATTGTTGTATGTGCATTTTGCATGCAGATTTCGAATGGCGTTGCTTCTGCTGTATTCATTCCCTATTTGTGTTGGGATTTTACCAACTTTTATCAAAGGGTTCGATAGGAAGAACGCTCCTGGAATGGAGAGTTGTTACCAGGAAGAAGGTTTTGTATTCAGAATTGTATGTAAGCACGTATAAAACCGGATTTAGGAGTCATGCTTGGCTGCTAAGGAAAAAAGTAATGCGGTGGTATGATCGTTGTCCAAGCAAAACAATTCCAGTAATAAATACCAAGTATAATAAGTAGCTGGAGAACAAGCATTAGTTGGAGATATGAGTCAGCAAGCAATTTTGAAAATAACACATTTGCTTGAGGAGATACTGTGGACCAAAAGAAATGAGTTTGACCCTCCTGATCATCAAGATGTCTGCAGAAATAGAAGCAGATTCCTCTTTAATCCTTCTGACCCCGAGGTGGTCGAAGTTATCTCGTGAGCCCACGTTTTAAGGTGTCTGACAGCAATTACTGAGGTTGATCAACCGCATCGCAGCCTCGTGTGAACTGAGGAGCTTGGGGTCAGCGTGGTTAGATGGAACAGCCGCAGGATTTATTCCATAAATGCAGGTAACACCACCAGCTTCACTGGCACTAGAAGGCAGTTGGAAGGCTTGGCTGAAGTTTCCTGAGCTCTCTTGGCTTTTATCCCTGCTGCCAGGTGCTGGCCTTGGTGTGGCCGAGCAGGGATGCCATAGCTGGTGGTAAAATCAAGTCACGGTGCGTTGTGCGTTCCGCTCTGGAGTGTGATGTGCTGATACAGTCATTTTTTTTGGAGCTGGGCTGTAAACCAGGTCACTGTAAAACCATCCGTGTCATTTTGCTTCGGTTTTAACTAGTCGAACTCCCAAAGAATTTTTAATTGAGTTTGTTTTCAGTGATCTGATCCGTGCGGCCGCAAACCGTGCTGCTTAATAGCCACTCAGAGTGGGAGGGGGCATAATTTCTTTAGCTCTGTAATTAATTAACAGAACGGGCACCCCAGGTGCAAAGTGTCTCTGCTGCCCCCAGAGCTCAGGGGCAAACGGGCTCACGTGTGTGGTGTCCGGT